GTTTTCAAACGAATCCATCCTCTCCCGGATTCGGAGAGATGCGCCCAGAGTGCTTGACAACGGCCACAAGGGCGACTGGGGGAGAAAGGAGAAGCTGGCGAGCACGAATACATACAAGCGGCCGGGGGGTGGTCCAGTGCAGGACAACACCCGGGGCACTAACCACCCGAAGCCAAACCCCCCCACCGACAGTGTGGACTCGTACTGTACGGCAACACAGGCACACTCGTGGTTGTACAGCAGAGGTTAGGGAAAAACTGCACCAGAAACTAAGTCCACGCGGAGCTTCCATATATAAATCACGCAACAGTGGCAGTCAGGTCCGCCTGCAAGCGTAATGCAATTAAATACAAAACAGCCTCCTCCTTAACCACTCACGCAGATAAGCAAGTTTGTAAACGCACCAGCGCTCTCTCTCTCTCTCTCTCCCTCTTTCTCTCCCTCTCTCTGTTTCTCTCTACGCGAATATTCAAAGAGACACACCAGAAGGGCCAGTGTAACACGTGCACACGGAAAAAAAAAGATTCGCTGAGCCAGCTAATATATTGACTGGTATCTGGACAGACAAGCACATAAACTTCTGTAACCACTATCGCAGATAAGCAAGTTTGCAAACGCACCATCGCTCTCTCTCTCTCTCTCTCTCTCTCTCTCTCCCTCTCTCTGTTTCTCTCTACGCGAATATTCAAAGAGACACACCAGAAGGGCCAGTGTAACACGTGCATGAAGAGGCAATGAATAAATTTATCCGCTTTAGCCGTGCAAAGGATGATAAATTCACACCAGCGTGTCCACGCCTCACAACAAGAAAGACAGAGAGGAACAGCGAACCACTTTACCGTGCAAGAGAGGGAGAAAGGAGAGGGAAAAGGGTGGGGGAGAGGGGGGGATGTGTGATGGGAAAGATAGGAGGGAGAGTGGTGTTGGGGTGGGAGTGGCCGAGTTGTTGGGAACAAAGTTGCAAAGAGCGTTTGCGGCGGGACGGTCCAGCCCAGCCTCCTCGCAGCCGCCGGACGCCGCACGTTGGACTGTTAACGCAAAACAAAAGCTTGTCGTGCCGTCGAATGTCGACACAAAAGCGCGTTCATCCACGAAATCCTCACGCGCGCATCCCCATCCGTCTCCCCCGCTCCGACTCTCCCGGCCCCTTTTACACACTCCAGCGGCATGGCATTTTATACGTTATGACGCGCGCTCAATAAATCGAATTCCATAATATGGGACCATACCTCATAGCTGCTGTCCTTATCGATTCAGACCGTTTTATGGTACTCGGGGGGGCAGGTGCAGGATATTACGGGGAGGGGGAGGTGACGGGGGGCGGGGGAGAAAAAGGAGGGGGCAGAGGGGCGATGTGAAGGCGGATACGCGCTGGCAAGAGGGGCGCGGTAGATCGGCTGATAGAGGGCGCAGGGCCCGGGCCGCGCGCGGGGAGGCTGAGGTGCAGCGGGGACTCGGCCGATGCTGTCTGAGAGGAGGAATAACGTCTCGTGGTGGAGCAAATAGGCGGGAGGCAAGGGGATGACATAAGTTAACCTCCCCGGGCCCACCCCGACCACACGCCGCGGTCTCCTACGTGAACTGGCGAACGGCCAGGTTTAATCGCAGTCGTCAACTTCACGGTAAAAAGGGGTAGCAACGAAATTAAGAGACCCGTTGAGCTGATGCCAAACCGCAGTCGCGAGTGTAGTTGGTGGGAGCAACACGGTCGTAAGTAAAGAAAATATGAAGGAAGCCAAATCCGAAACAAACAAAACTGTAAAAGACAACCTAGATTAACAATAAAAATAGCAAGGGCTACCAACCTCTGGTCTAGAAACGTGTTATAATTGCATGTCATAATTATATTGCAAAGTGAATGTTCCGTAGTTATCACACAGTTAAAAGTCTGGTCGCGTTAGCGTTGCAAAATAATTTGACCATATGTTGCATATTGCCTGACGTGCAATCCCCCCCATCCCATACTGCGGAGCATCGCGAAATGCTGGCCCCACGAGCCGACATGCTCGCGGTCCACTCCGCCCCCCGCAGTGCTCCAGGACCGCAGCAGCAGCAATCCCACTGCCGCACGCGGCCTCGACAGCGGGGCGCCGCGGGCCGGCGGTGGGGATCACGGGGAATACGATATGACCCGAGGGACACTGCTCGGCCCCGCCCCTCGGCCCTGCCAGGCTGGGCCGCTGCATCGACGAGGCCACCCCTCCTCCTCTGCACCGGACGCAGAACAGACGGCGGCTCGTCGCTTTGCCGGCCGAGGAATAGGCAGGTCAAAGGCAGGTTGTCCTACGGTCCCGTCCACTCAGATCGACTTTGACACTGTGAAAAAGAGTAGGTTTAACAGGAAAATTTTCCTTGACGCAAGTTGTAAAATTACAATTTGAAATCGTAAAAATACATGCAGTACGTATCGACTTGAAATCCATTGGCGAGATTACAAAAAAATTGTAAATGACAGTATTTTTCACAGTGTGATCTATATCCAAAGAGTGTAAATAGACCCTCTGTGTCGCTGCGCTGATGTGTTGAAAGCAGTCTCGACCTAAGTAGCCCGTGCGAACTATGAAAAGCTCGATTAATTCCTCAGAACTTCCTCGGAACCCGCAGTTGCATCGTCGAGGGTCTTATACCCTCACTCACAGGTCATACACGGCTCGTACGCCGCCGGCCGGGAGAGCAAAAGTTTGGCCAAACCTTGGCCTGGCCGTGCAACAGTCTGGTTCATTATTTCAGGCGTGCCCACAAGAGCACACCCAAGGGACAAGCACGGCAGAAGCCGCTGCGGTGGCGGCGCTAGCCAGGCAAAGCAGCAGAGGCTGAGCTGCGCCTGCGCGCGGGCTTGACGCAACAAACCGCCCTGCCACAACTCTATGCGAAGCATAAAAAGACCCCCCCCCTCCCCCTGTTCCCCTCCCTTTCTGCCTCTCACACGCCCACACCCGGACCCTCCCGCGGCAGCCTGTAGACCCGTAATTTCTCCCGTCGTCGGTTCCCCATTGAGAGGCATCAACCACTCCAGAGGCACAGCCCTTCTCTTTCACCACTGCTGTCTTCTTATTTTGTGCCGTTTCATCCGGGAATCTGGGTCAGGAATCGGGAGAGGTGTGCGTGTAAGAGGGAGAGAGTGAGAGGCAGGTGGGGGAATGAAAGGGAGGTAGGAGTACACGTACGGAGAACTTTAGAACAGAGGTAGAAATATGAGAGTAGTTTGCTATAATTAAGTTATCCCGCACCCCTGGCTGGCTTAGAGAATGGGAGTCCATATGCAACGAAAGGGAAGAACAAGCGGTCTAGTAGGCTAGTGCCATGTTACTGAAAGAGAAATGGCGTGAACTATGACACGATAAAGTGCTAATTTGACGCTGATTGCATTGCTGTTAGCCCGCTGAAACATCACCAGCAGGCTTTTGAAGACACTTATGTCATGTGTGTGATGAGCAAACACTGAAAGGGCAGCTTTCAAGAGATTTCGAACCACGCTGAAAACCTGCCTCAATTCGGAAGGCTCGGAAAATGATTGGGCCCGTAGTCGTTTTAAACGACAAATTAGATACAACAGGCAATACAATCGACGCATTTCTCATCTGCTATAGCTACGACATCGCTTTAAAATCGATTCTCACTGTGATAGAGAACGAGAAGTTGCTTGCTGCAAGGCGAAGCGAGGAGATGACTGCCAAAAGATTCAAACTGTTTTGCCGATGAGTTCAAACAGTTCTCGAGTCTCGAGTAAATTAGCAGTCTCCCCCCGTCAGTCGGACGCCCGCAGCTTTGGCAGAACACCAAGCGGGTGGAGGGCGAAACTTTAAGATTAGAACGTTGGTCGTTAACTCTCGAGAGGGAGGGAGACTTCCGTTGGAGTGGTCGTGAGAGTCCAGTGCGTACGTGCTTTCTCCTTTCTGAGAAAAAAGGTTCAGCATTGCGCAATACCGCTGAGCCAAGTAATTCCTAGGGGATTTTACGAGGAAAACAACGACGGCTTTGTACGACTAGAACCGCACGAACAACCCCTAAATTTGAGAAATTTAGCTCTACGGAGGCCATCTATTCTTCAGTTCTTTCTATGGAGGGAGAATAGAAAATTTGCACCCACTGCATTTTCTCATCATTTTAAGTTGTTCTAAGTAGCATCTTTGTTTTTTCGCTTTAGGAGTCAGTTTGCTGTCATAGGTAAGAGGGAGTGAACAGAGACGGTGGGTAGATCGTATACGACAAATCAAAATGGAAATCCGCTAGATTCCATGCACAAGTTCACAAGGTGAATTGAAAAAGTTTTGGAGAGAGGGCCGCCAGATATGCCGAGGCAAACGTGTTCGAAAGGGAAAGGACGGTGGGAGACTGAAAGAGACACAATCATAGTGAGAGGGTGAGAGGAGACAAAAAAAAATGGAGCGGGCGAAGAAGGTGATAAGTGGTCTAGAGAGAAATCTCATGTTGCACGCGGTGAGCCCCTCACCGCTGGCGGCAGCTAGCATCCTTTCCAGAGGGAACTCCGGCCTCCAGCATATAATCGGAAGCAGGTGACAGAGATTGAATAATTGATGATGCTCCTTGTCCCCGCCCTCTCTCTCCCTCTCTGTTACCATCTCCTGCGCTCTCTCGCCTCCTCTGCGGCCCCCGCAATATCCTTGGTAAAATGCCCAGAGCTTCGCAGAGAAGAAATGATCCCCTACGCTGCCAGGGCCCTCTCGTAAAGTCGCTTCCGAGCCAAAGCAGCGATCAGTGTTCTAATCGAAGCACCGCGCTGGGCACGCGCCCAGGTCATTCATTAGATATTGTCTGACCCTGCGCGGCACCCTGCTCCTCGCTTTGAAGTGATTTCATTTCAGGAAAACGTTCGCAAGAAGTAACACACATCACAACGAGGACTCTGCGACTCGCTTACCTCATGCAGGCACAAAAATTCTGGTATTTAAAACTGAATGGCCCTCTCTGTGAACTAAAAGTCTATCTCAGCCGTTCCTCCACTGGATTGTGTTGGGATGACGTCCCCCCCCCCTAACAAGCCAAATATTTTGACTCTCTGAGAACCTGTAGAGGTTTATACGAAAAATGTTCTAAAATTGAGAGGGGAGTGGCTTTGCGGAGGAGTGCTCCCACGCGGAGACAAGAGTAGGCGCGGGCGGTGATGACGAGGGAAGGAGGTAAGCGACCTAAACTAGCGAGGAGACAGCGATCCACAATGGTAAGGTTCAACAAAGTTCTCCCAAACTTCGTGGGGGCTCCCGAATTTCACGGCTTTTAATATCCGTGATTTGAGCCGCTAACGGTGGCGAGCGTGTGGGTATGGGCGCGAGCACAACAGCGCGGGGCTTCGCGTCGAGCAAAGTTTTGCATCGTCGATGCAATATCCGACGCTGTAAAGCGCAACCGCAACGACACACACTCACACACACACACGCGCGCACACATACTCTCACACAACCAAACGCCACGAGCAGATATGGTGCTTTTTCCTCGTGCTGGGTTAATAGGCTTTGCCCTTTGCTCATCCAGCAAACAGCGCAATGCGGATAACACTGCAGTGACACAGACGCGTACACGGAGCGCCTGCAATTGGCAGGGTAGGCACACCCGCAACGCGCGCGAGTGCACCGGGCCTGCCAGCCTCCCGGGCGCCCCGCAGCAGCGCCGGCCTACAATGTGCGGCTGAGGACAACCCGAACGAGCCAAGGTTGGCGTGGGGTGGCACAGGCCCCCGAGCGCAGAGAGAAAAAGAAGGGATGTCAATGCGCCACAGTGAAAGAATACTGTACTCAGTTTCGTGTACGAACATATCAAAGCCCTCCTGGGAAGTCATAGGCTGCGGGGCGGCTTCCGTTAGTCTCCCCAGGGTTAGGTATTGTTCGCACATTCGCTCACTCTCCGCGGAGCAGCTATGGTAAATGTCACAGCCAATGCTCCTTCCATCTGCATATTATCTACCAGAGTCAAAAAACGACTACAGTCCATAATCGATTAGAATAGCTCATATTGCAAATTCCATAACTTAATTATTAAGCTTAATATTATATTAGGTCATACGCCCAAATACCAGCGAATATATTGGCTACCAGAGCGAATCTTTTTTTTTCCTGTAGATTTCCTTACTGTGTCAGTATCTTTCACTCTACTCCATCATGTCCGAGTGAGCTAAGTACCCGGAGCACACTTACTACAAGAAGTACACGCTGTGTGACAAACAGGCTGCATACGCGACACTTACCGTCCGGAACTGCGCTTGACATCATGAGGAAATGGACGCAGGCTGCCCCGGTGCCGTGGCCCAGCAGCGTTACATTGTGCGGGTCTCCTCCGAAAGCAGCTACATTCTCCTGGATCCAATGGAGGGCGGCGATCTGGTCCATCAGGCCATAGTTTGCGGGACTGCGGGAGTGTGGGTCCTGGTTCACGTTCAGGAATCCTGCCAACAGATATCAATGACAGGAACGTATTAGGTGTAGCTCAGCACAGGTACAACGTTACATACACGTCCTCAAATTCACCACACTCTCTGCCCAATCACTATCAATCTTCCTCACTCTTCGTCACGATTGCACTATTACTTCGCCATTACAAATAAGTGTATCAGTAAACATTAGTCAAGGACCGCGACAACAACAACGCCCTGTGGTGTTGGCGCAGTGTGGCGCCGGCCCGCGAGGCGTTTGCGTCGCCGGTGCGGCACGTGCGGCGCCCGCCGAGTCTATCTCCCGCGAGCATCAATGCGAAATGGCGCCAGTGTAATTGTGGCCCGCGGGGGCAGGTCAGGGCGGCACGCGTTAATCACCAAAGCAAGCGATTGTTTTGCGCGGCTCTCGCAGGCGAGCTGGGCGAACACACTACTGGAGTCACCGACCGGGAGCGACGAAATCGTTTTTTCATCTCTCGCAGCCGCGCGCTGACTTATTTTAATAATAGAATGTTGCAGAGGTGGACCCATATTTTTAATTAAAGGCTGGGGCATCGTTAAGTTCATGCGGTCGCCTGCTTCAGATGAACGACCTGGCCAATGTCTGGGCAGCGGCAAGGGTGAAGAGAGAGTAGGCACAAAAGAGAAATGGATAATTATACTTGTCTTTTGAAAGACCACCGTGCTGCGCAATTCAAATGTCACCGCCCCTTAGAATATTAGGCAGTTCGCACTGTTAAAATCCTACAAATAAATGCTTTGCAATTGCAAAGCATTTTGATCCTTTGTAACTACGAAGCATTTTTCTTTGCAATTGCGAAGCATTGCTTCGTAGGGGCGAGGAGGGGCAATTCAATAAAGTCATGTTCACAGAAATGCAAGAAAAAACAACAACATAAAATACAAGAAAAGACTGCACAATACATAGAAATACACGTTTACAACATGAAAGTTACAAGATATTATAAAAGACACTCTGAAGACCAAAGGCACACAGGAATGCACGAGCTTCCCCCACCCTCTCCCCCACCCCTGTTTTCGCTCATCCCTACAACCCCAGTTTCCATGTCAGAGCTCGCGTGGCTTAGGTCATCGCTTGCATGTATTTCTTTTAAAACTCAAATGAGGTTAATACTAATTTTCTGGTGGCCAACCATTGGGGATTCTGTGTGCATGAACACCTGCTCACCTATGGAGGTATTAATGTAAGGTATCTCTTAGGGGAAAAAGCACAGCAGGCCAACGAAAATTAACAATAATGGGTATAACCGAGAGTCTGATTTGCAACGCGTAATTAAATCTCTTGTGTGGTACACGTAAAATTAACACTTGGACCTTATATACACTTTTTCACTGAAATAGGACGTGAAGTTCTAAAACCTTTTCACTATGCCCTGTTATCAGATTAGATGGCGAATCTCTGGACAAAACGGCAAAATAGCAGCAGCCGGCGCGACGCAGTACACAAACAGGTGACAGCTGCTTGCTACTTGGAATTTTACCGTGCGACATTTCCGCTGTGAGTGTAAATAAGTGTGTTTATAAATCACACTAGGCGTTCCAAGGTCGACCCAACACCGGGCCTCCTGCTAACTGGCTGCTGTATCACCGGATAATTATTACCTCGGGCGCGATAAGCCTCACACCAACTAACTGGTTATCAGTGACAAACGGGGTCACCATCAGCACGGCTTGCAGCCCTCGGGGCAGATAATTTTAATTTTAGAAAGAGGCAAAAAATACCTAAACTTTGGGGGGGGGGGTGAGAAATGACATGAGAAAATATAAGAAAATGGTGTTTTTTTTCACATGTTTTACAAATATTACCTACTTTTGACAACCGTTCAAACACATTCTTATTTTAAATGTTGCATAAATAGGTTTATTTTTCTCGATTATTGTCAAAGAAGAGAAAAGTGGCCATCACTGGTACAGTGTCCATTGCTGGGTACCTAACCATAGCCACATGTTGCAAGGCCCGGGTACCAGCCAGTGTAAATGATCTGTCTCCCGGCCGGTCGGCGAGCTCAGCTCGCCGGGCTGTAAACTTTCTTCCGTAAGCTGGGACCACTACAAAATTTCAGCTTAGATCGGGGCAATACTGTAAGCGTATTACAAAGATATATAGGAAGTCTGTTGGTTCTACCTGCAATAGTACCGTCGAGGTTTGGCGTATAAATTTATAGTTTCGTAGGCACAGGAGCTCATTTATAAATACACCGCCAGTACCAGCAACTGAAAAAATCAAGCGAGCGCCAACTTCCTGCGTGTATTAGCATAGGAACCGCCTCTTCGCAGCAGAGGGAATAATGAATGCGGTCTGTGGTCCGTCGCTGTGTCTTGTCAACGGCACACAACGCACGCTGCTGTAACGGCGAAAAATTTGCCGACTTGCTTAACATATTCAAATACAACGACTGAGGGGGCACCCTAGGTGCATAGATGCATAGCCATCTATTTCCTTATTTCCTCTGTAGCGTTTAGAGGAGGATACTCATTATTTCAATAGAAAAAGTAAATACAATGGAACCTGATTTTAAAATCATATTTTTGCGAGTACTAAGTACTACGCATCGACTGAGGATTTGAGTATCAAGTATAAGCTGCCATAAATTTACGATATATTATGTAAATCGTAAATACAAAATTCGCTGTAAATTTAAAAAAAATATCACACCAAAGGAGGAAATGTGGTCGTTTGTTTGCCCAATTCCCCATTTGCGACAGCTACTTATTTGAACCAAATTTTAGAGCGTGCGGTTGGTTTCGACCAACCGCAGGAGCTATAAGGGGAGGGAGTAGCGTTGCATCGGATGTCTCTGCTCTCACCTCGACTGGCTCCCCTTGCGAGGAGGCCGGATTTCACTTCTCTCCTTCCACTCACTCCCCATTCCCCCTTACTCCCCTTACCTTCAGTCGTCACGATGCTCATTTACTTAAATCCAGCCCTGGTTCGGCGGCGCAGGGCGGAGCTTAGATCAGGTCCAGGAAAGTAGAAATGCTGTGGTATTATACCCTGTGGCAGCTCCTTGTCGGTAACTCGTTAAAACGAGAGAACGAACGTTTAGGCTTAATGATATGCTACTAGCAGGAGTCTGCGTCAGCAGGACCCTTAGGAGGGCAACTGAGATTGCTCAAATAATGCAAAGCGATAACAGTGCGTAAGAAAATAAAAGGATACCGTCTTTTCCTTTAGTCCAAAATGTTGGTGCCAAAATTTAAAAAGGAAACATTACCCGGAGAGGAGAGGTGTCAAATTTAGAGGCTTTTGGAAGCAGAATTCCACTTGTAAGCCACTTAAGGAAACCGCATCAAATTGAAGCCTTCAAGAAATATTTTTTTGATAAAATGTGATGGAAGCATACCAAACACTTTTTACTGAGATCTTTTAATTTGCTCCTAACCTTACATAGTTTACTATAATACGCAGCTTGCTTTTTCACACCACCAGTAAAAGAAGTAATCACACGCAATGCCAAAAAAAACATCATCGTATTCAAGCATATATGTGATGTGGGCTCTCCTGCAGGACAACACCAGGGCTGCACTTGAGTTAGTTGCGTTTGCAATACAATATACATTACGGAGCGCTAAAAAAATGAACGAAAACAAAAAGCGATGCAGGAAACAGAGAAGAAGCAGAAAAACATCAGGAGATGAGGACAGAACGGCTGGAGGGCCGTGCACAATAAGTCTACGAGGAGTAAAGGCGTGAGGCGAAGCACTACGCTTTTCAGGTCAAGAGGTGGCAGTAGGGCGTAGGGCGATGTGGCAAGAGATTTCATCTAAACGTGAGGCGCGTCAGCGGGAGTAAAGACAGCAGCAGAGGGAGGAGCGCGCAGCGCCCCGGCTGCGACTATACGCGTGCGGCGAAGCAACATTGACCCGCAGTCCTCTCGCGAGATGAGAGGCGGAGTGCAGACGGCGCATTATTTACACGTCCCGCATGCATAAAGCGCCTAGGCCCGGGCGGCGCACCGAGCCCAAGGCACTCACGGCGCCACCTGCCACTGCCGAGGCACCGGAGCAGCGCCGCCAGGAGGACGGAAAAACACACACAGCACGACATTTCATGTCCGCATATAAACGTGTGACAACAGACACAGAGCGTGCAACAGATCCTGAAAACGAGACGGTTTAATTGTTTCCGCAGAATTCCAATAAGCTAGTCTTTCGTGGTGCAGTTTGGGAAGTCAAGTATGCCAAGAAATAGTGGTGGGTGAGCTCGTTGAGCGCCAAATAACGCAGACAGAGCGAGGGGAAGGCGTGAGGACATATGCTACAGAAATGGCACGAACTTGTGCCCCTTTTAGTTCCTCCACGCATGTATGATTGATAGAATAAAAAATTGAAATTGAAATCAAAGTTGGTGTAACTCTTTGCTACAGAGTACAGAGAAATGAAATTAAGAACAAATACGAAGAGTTTAGGGAGGAAAAACCTCTTTATTTACACACTGCGAAGAAAGACAGGCTTTTCCAATTGAAACGACATTGCGGGAGAACGATGACACATTTTGAATAAAAGCCAAAGATTGCATCCAAATCGGAGAGAGAGAGAGAGAGAGAGAGAGAGAGA